CAACGATTAAAATCTCTGCATCTTAAATTTTACTCGCTTGGATTTCTCCATAATGCTGTAATTGGTTCTTAGAAGAGTCTTCTTTTTGGACGTTAATAATTTCTAGTTCACTTGCAGTTCATCTGTCATGTGTGTTTTTCATCCATGTTCCTGGATTGTGAACATTCCAATGTTATTCGCACACTCAAAGGTAGGATTTCCCATAATCCCACAGTGACACGCATTAATAACATAACCCATCTCCCCCCTTGATGTCTTCATTCCGATGAACCGTGTTCATTTAAAGAACTTACTACACCCGGTATGAAGGTTCTTCATAGTAATGGTAACTCCTGTGGGGTCTGAGCGTGATCCTCTTTTTATTCTCTCCATCTTGATGGAGGATATAAGAAAACAGTTACTTCACTTATGTCTTGAGATGGCATCCAAATGTAAAGGCCAAACAAAGTTTGTTTAGAGTTTATCAGAAAGATCAGAAATTTGAACATGAATATACAAGGTCCAAGATGCCCAAGCAAATGGAACACTAATCACCATCATGGTGACTTTTAGTGCTGGAAAACAATTACAGTACTAAACAATATCATTTCTTACAGTGGCATGGTTGAAGACAACTTTATAATGTGAATTCACAAGAAAACAAGAGAAGTAAATAACTGTGATGTCAGCATCATTCTACTGTTGATAGTTTGTTGTAATTTGTAAGAAAATTACCCAGCATGCATTAATTTCACTGTAAATTTCTGACTACAGTAATTTATTGTAAAAAAAAAAAAAGTACAGTGTATGTTGCAAACAATATGTTCAGAACTGTTCAGAAGTTTGGGCTCAGTAAGTAAAAGTAATTATTACTCAGCAAGGATGCATTAAATTGATCAAAAGTGCCAACGACATTTCAAATGTAAAATTAAATGCTGTTCTTTTGAACTTTCTATTCATTAAAGAATCCTGAAAAAATGCATCACAGTTTCCACAAAACTATTTAGCAGCGCAACTGTTTTCAACATTGATAATAACCAGATATTTATTGAGCATCAAATCAGCATATTCAAATGTTTTCTGAAGGATCATGTGACACTGGAGTAATGATGCTGAAAATTCAGGGTTGATCAATGATCACAGGAATACATTTATATTAAAAATGTATTAAATAGAAAACAATTTGGGATGCAGCCTGTGACCTGCTCATCACTAACTATATCCATTTCCATCACACATAGAGGGTCTATGATTGCAACAATCTGAGCCACACCAGAAAGACAGTATTTAGCATCCATCTCCATTCTTCTCTCAAACCCCGCCGTTCAAACACCCCCATCCCAGTCTAATCCAACTCTCCCATTTCAGTTTCCTCAGATCAAACAGATTAGTGCAGTTGACAGGCCATGTTCCCAAGGATCAGATAAGGTTTCTGCTGCGGGACACACCCTTTGCAGACTGACCCAGCCGGGCAGGCGACGAGAAGGCTCGAGAGAGACGGTTTGTTTTTTGTTTTCCTGGGTCAGACCCTTTGGATTCTCTAAGAGTCAGGTTACTGTGAGAGTGTGGCGAGAAGGGACTCTCCCGGGAATGATGGCATGCCACGGAAATCCGCAGTTATTGTACTCGGGTGTCATTACTCTGTGATGTATTTGTGAAAGAAACCTCAGGTTCTTCTGATGTGCACGCAAGCGAAAACTGAGCAATATGTCAACACAGTGCTCATGTCCAGTGGCCTTATTTTTTGGACAGGTGAAGACACCTGTGCTATTACACCTGCACATATTTATCGTTGGCCCGGAGATGGCTGTCACCAGCACATGAAAGCAGCCCTGCGACACACCCGATCTGGCCTTCCTGTTCCCATAATGCCCTCTGGGCACTGATGGGCTTGTTGACTTGCCTGGGATCACGTGGATGATCATGATGACGAAGAGGGAGAAAAAGAAAGGAAGAGAGGAAGAAGCACACAAAGAGCCGTCTTTGTTTGATGTTGTGAACGCATGCTATCATATGTTCACATTTGCTCCCAGCTGTCTGCGTGTTGCGTTATATTACTATTTTCGGACTTTCTTATATCCAACTCCAACACTTGCAAATATCCAATCTCGTGAAGGAAGCTTTTTCCTCCCATTTGTCCTCCTTGTATCTTCGTTTTTGAAATATGTTTGTCCCGAGCGTCCAGTGCTGCCGAGGGCAGGATGTTTATTCTAGCTCTTATCGTGTCATTTTAATGACGCTTAATTATGTGTTTTAATGATCTTTGCGTCGTCAAGCTGCGCCCCACTAACCCTTCCAAACCCTGCCAACCGCCGCTTGGTTTAATCTCAGTTTATCGGGAGACTGCGAAGGACGCCATGGAGCTGCTCGGGGCCTTTTACCGCAAAAAGCTGCGGAGAAAGCAGAAATCAAATCTTGGGCGATCAGACGGGGCGCTGTGTAAGACACCGTCCGAGACCAGCGTCAACGGCCTGGCCACTGGACTCATCTCCAAAGTGCTGAGACTTACTGCAAGGTAATTGCTAAGTGTTCAGTAAGGGAGGATAGCAAGGGAATAACAGGTTGTGGATTGCAGGGCAGGTAATGATTTAAGGACTGGCTAAGGACAGACTCCTACTGGCCTTTGACATGGTTTAAGGTTACTTGCTTTATAAACCTGCCGAGAAAAAGGGATATTTTAAGCAGAATTTAAAATCCTGTCATGATAACTCCAAAAATGTATGATTTGGAAGATATTTTGGAAAATAATTTTTTTTGACTTTCATTATATGGACAAAAATTGATGGATTATTTGTATTATTATTATTATAGATTTATTATTTAGGTTTGATTTATTTTAGTTTTAGTTTTTTATTTCCAATTAGTAGGTTTAGTGCTTCTACTTAAACGTATTTCAGTTAGCTGCCAAGACAATGTTTCTAGTTTTTGTTTAATGAAGTTTTTCATCTAAGGCTATGTTTACACGGAAACGATTCTGAAGAGAAAACGCAAAAGTGGCGTTGCGTCATCTTTTTTTATTCTGCGTTTAGACGAGCGTTTTGTGTGGGAAATCCGCGTGCAAATGGAGACGCAAAAGTGTCTGAAATTCAATGTAGTATGCACTTCAGGCAGATAGGAGTGCATACTACAACAACACCAAGTCCAGACGCCTGCGGACAACTTTCACTGTCAAGCAGACTTTTGCGTTTTTACCGTTTACACGGGAACGCGGCGGTGGAGCGTTTTTAAGATTTCCACTCTGGAGGGTGGTTTCACTTTTTTGCGTTTTTAAGCCTCAAAAACGCTGCTGATTTTTCCGTTTTCACCTGCGAGCGTTCTCGTGTAAACAGGGCCTAATATTTATCTCTTTTTCAATTAACACATTTTTTGGGGGGAGTTTTAGTTTTTAGTTAATGATGATAACCTGTTATTATAATTGCAATATATGTGAATAAGTTCCAGTCGAGCAGGTAATACACGGCAGGAATCCACAATCTGTATATGATTGATTATTACTCATCACACAACAACTATTTAAAAAATGCAACATTATTATCCTCCCTAGATGAAACGACTGCGTTCCTGTGAATCTTTCCTGTTTACCCCTTTCAGATTTACCCGCGGTGGGTTCGGACAATCATAAGGGGGTCGAAGGGTTTTCTGTTGTCTCAGTTCTTTTACTTTGCTCAACATTGATTTCAAAAGTTTTACTTGTGGAAGTCATTAACACGGATCTTGTCCAAATCTAGACTGGTCAAAAGGAATGGCCCTTTGGAAGAGGGTGTGTTAAAGCAGCCAGAAAGTTACATCCATAGCAACATATCATAAAAGCCAGATGTTTTGCAGATGCAATGTCTGATCTGTCTCCATAGAGCAGGGTCAAAGTTCAAGGGAGTGGGGTTGTTAAGGAAACAAGTCTATGTGGAGGCTAAAAAAACTTCATTGTCCTGAGAAATGTGATCAGTCTGAATCATCTAGGTGCAGCTTTGTGGAGGAATTTGCAGCTCCTCAAACAATGACCTACTGTCTCTTTTAATTTGACAGTGATCTATTATAATAGTAATCTAGTTTAATAGTAATAGTAAAAACAATATAATTATAATATATATATAATCATAGTCATATCAATAAAAAATGCACCACAATCTTTTGCAACACTCAAGTCCTAAAAATGTATTGCTTCAGGTCAAACCCAAAGTTCTAGAACTGAGCAATTCTAGAAAATCACTAAAAGAGGTATGTGCTGCATTTGCCCAGTCAGCTGACTGAACATGATCTTTAGTCTCGTACAGGCCTTGCCTTTCTGGCTAGTGATCTCACACCATCATTTAAGACCTTAGTAGGTCACTTCAGTCAGCAGACTGGTTGGGCACACACTGGCATTGTATGTGTGTGTGTGTGTGTGTGTGTTCAAATGTCTGGAGCAGCAGTAGGCACAGACAGTCTGCTGATCGTTATATGAAAAACATTCATTATGCTCCACGCTGTTTGAAACCAAAAATGTTTTTGTTTTAAACAATGCCGGCATTCTTGCCATGTTTCGACAACATACTTCAGCACCCTGTGCCAAAACCAGAAATAGAAATCTACTTCCAACTTCCCAGAATTTTATTTCTCATTCTTAGGAATAAATGTTTATTATACATAAATATTTGTAACATAAAATAAGAAATTAAATTCTTAGTCCAAATATCAGATAAATGGTTCAATTTGTCAGTGGCTAGATTAGGAAGTATCTATTTAGACAGTGAGATTCTGGTTATAATGCAGTGCCACATTCTTTAGGGATGTTTTGATCCTTTATCCTCGGTGGCCTTGACTACACCAGACAATACATGCTTTATGCTTACAATAAACTACTTTGACTTTTCACTGAACTATTTCCGACTTTTGTTTTTGTGCTTTATTTTATTTATTTTTAATTCGAATCGTTTTTGTTATATCATGCTGTGTTTACACTTTTGTTTACTTTATGTATTTGAGTTGCATTCTGCAAAAAAAAGGCATGGCTTTTTACATTTCTTTGAATGTCTTTTTCCCAGACGGAGTGAGCCTGGATCTCGACCTCATTCCTGGCATTCTACAAAGCTGGGCGAGGGCCCTCAGGACCCAGAAAGCATGATGCAAGTCACCCAGGGTGGTGTGGGACCCCCCTGGCACCAGAACTACCACTCCAGGTCAGTGCAGCTTGCACACAAACACACCTGCAGTCTAGTGCTTCCAACCTTTTCTGTTTAGGAATGAAGAAAATAACAGCAGGGAAACGTACTTTCAAGCCCTAATTGTTTTTCTTCATCGGTTGTTTCTCTGTTTCACAAGTATAGCATGTCAGAGATACAGTAGTGAAGATGACATTTTTAACAGTTCCCAGCTATGCAACTGAAGGATCGGGTAACACAGTTTAGCAATAATCCACAATGAAGTTATTTATTCAAAGAGAGAGGATAATGTGTGTACTTAGTTTGGGTTGCAGCACCTGATTTGGCTTCATGAGGTATTTCCTGAAAGTTGCAACCTCTTGATACATGTTATCTAGCATGCCACACACACATATACACTTAAATATTTTAATCACCTTCAATTTTACTTCTTTACAATTACTAGCACTTGAGGGTGTTAATTAAGTGGCCTATGGATGCATATACATATATCAACAGCTTAAAAAGTCCATAAGCATGACCGTTAGTATCTGTAAATGTTGATTATTTTGGTCAGACATGGCTCTTTTGTCTTTCTGTTGGTGGTTTCTTGTTTTGTACGATCATAGCATAAGCAGAGGACATATTTTAGGTAGTTGCCCAAACATTCAAAAACCTTTTGTGCTTGTTATCTGGGTCATTATCACTGTATTTAGACCAGAATGTTCAAGGGCCATCAGTGATGACACTGAAAGAAAAACATTTTGAGTGTTCAAAGAGGACCAGAAAGCAAAGCAGTGACGCACAATCTAATAAAAAAAAATTCTTTGGGAGGACGATCCCTCAACAACCCTCCAAAGGTTCCCATGGTGATGGTCACCGAGGGCTACACCAATAGCATTCCACATTCTGAGACCTGGTGTCATTGTTTGATGGACTGACCTGTGATTGGTTGATCTAGTTCTTAGAGGGGTGACTGCAGTCCTGTTGACAATGGGTCCGTGACATCATGTAATTATGCCAGCAGAAATACCAGCAGTCTAATGCCAGCTTTCAGAGTCCGGCAATCACATACCCATACAAGGGCACATACCCAGGGCATCACTGTCTCACACACATACACCGCCGTGATTCCAACCTTTACGTAGCAGATTCCCACAGTGGATAAGTTTGATAACGGATCTAACAGTGCATATTTTTCTCATTATTCTCACATTATCATCAGGGATGAGTGAAGTCATGTTTGAACTCTTACTGATTTCTGATTACTATTACTGTGTTTGAGTAAATTTAATCTCAATGCAAATTCATGACAACTGGATTTCATGGTTTAATCAACACTTGATATGTTGTAAACAGTCCAGACATCAAATGCATTTTGATAGTTATTCTTATCAGAGACAATCTTTAAAACTTTCTGGTAAATAGAGTCACAAGCATAGCAAACACAAATTGTGACTATGAGCTCATTCTTATTTTATAAAGATCAGTGAATCAATGTCTTTGATGTCTATCCAAGTTTGTAACAGCTCGGATCGACAACCACAATAGTATCTCAATCTGCCGATATATTACCCCAGTAAAACAATATTATTGCTCTTAGACCCCCAGTAAAATAACCAGAATTACTTCAAATATCATTGCATGTGGTTTTGTCCATTGTCTTATGCCAGTGATTCAATTAATAGATTTTATAGTAAAGACTGACTCAAGTTATTTTGGGTCGGTGATGTTTTTCATTCATTTTATCTACGCATATATAATGTTAATCTTAAATAACTCAGGTCTGTGTGTATGTATATACATTTTTATCAATGTCAGTTCATAGTATATTACTCATGTTTTTTGGTTTTTTTCTTGCAGTGCTTCTACCACAGACCTATCAGGATTTGAGACGGGATTCCTTAGGAAGAGCCCAGATCAGTACAGTTCACGGGGCAGCATGGAGAGCCTAGACCACACTCACCCAGCCTACAGCTCCTGCTATCAACTATCATCATCCAAATCCTCCAGCAGTATCGATCACCTGCACAGCAAGCGGGATTCTGCATACAGCTCATTCTCGACCAGCTCTAGTATCCCAGAGTACCTTGCAGCAGCACCATCGTTTAACAAAGAGAGGTCATATTCCATGGAGAACGTTCCACAGAGAGAAGGGATGCAGCAGGCCGATATACGCTACGTACGCACTGTGTACGACCCCCAACAGGGTGTGTCTGAAGAGCATGAGATTACCTCTGTGGCATTATTAAGAACCAATGACAGCAGAGCACAGTCTAGAAGTGGGAATGTCCCAGGCATGATCTGTCATCGTGGTAGCAGTAGTAGTGGAAGCAGTGGGAGTAGTGGAAGCACCACCAGCCCACAACGCCATAGTGTTGGGACAGTCTGGGATCCAGCTCACAACCGGCACTCTTTTGAAAATCTAAAGGGGGCGCCAGCTCCTCCATTACGCAGCGACAGCTATCTAGCATTTCGCAATCACGAGCGTCCCAACTCTTGGTCGAGTCTTGAGCAAGCTCGGTCACAGCGGGCACTTAACAAGGGTTCTTGGCATCACTCAAGTGGTTCTGTAGCAACAGGAAAGTCCTCGTTCGGAGCTGAAGGTCAGTTGCACACGGTGATTGAAAAAAGCCCTGAAAGTAGCCCCACCACCAAACCCAAACAGGGTTGTCCTCAGGCCGCACAACCCGGTCGCCTCATGTTACCCACCAGCATCTACCCTGTTCCACCACCCGAGCCTCATTTTGCACAAATCCCAACCAGCAACCCTAACTCTGGTAGTGTCTACCCAGCACTGGCCAAGGAGAGCAAGCAAAACAATCACTGTGATCACTTGGGTGGACCAGTTAAAGAGGATAGGGTCACCCTTGAAAACGGATACCAAAGCAATACTCCCAACCCAAACCCTATCCAACCCAATGTTTCGGCACAACCCAAGCTCTCCGATAAAGTGCAAAATGACACACAATTCAAACCTGGTTTTTATCGGCCTCATTTGCAACAACAAGTGCAGAAGTCACAAACACCATATGTACCCCAGGAGAGGAGGGACCCTTACACTCCTGTGCAACCAAGAGCAGAGAAGCCAAGGCTTTCGCTTGGTATGGAAGTTTACGACAACTACAGGCCACCTCGAGATGAAGAACAGAATAAATGCAATGAGCAAAACATTCATTCAGACCCACTTTACACTGGGAAAGTTGCACTGGGACAAGTTGCTCAAGCTTACAGAGGAAACTTAGTCCAAACTCAAGGAAATGACCACCTAGTCAAACCTTCAAGGCACTACAGTGACTCTAGTGCTCTTCAGCAGAGAGGTCAAGACTGTGATCACCCTCTGACCAGACTGGAGAATGCACTTGCTGAGGTTCAAAGATGCGTCAGTCCCGAGAGTACTGCTAGCCAATGCAGTTACCAGAGTGAGCGTAGCATGTCTGTGCTGGAGAAAGTAAGTCATTTTGAGAGACAGCAAGTCAAACCTCGCAGTCATAGCAGCCTGTCCCACCATGGTTCTATGGCTCGTCTGAGCCAAACATCAAGACCTTCCAGTGCCAAGAGCTCCTTCTCTGGTGTGGAGGACATGCACAACATGTTGGAGAGAAGCAACAGCTCGATCCCTCATGGGAGAACTCAGAGTGCTTCTAGCATGGCAAGCTACGATGGACGTATGGAAGTGGATATCCGAACGAGATGTGGGAGTGGTGATCATGTCCAACATCGCCAGCAAAAAGAAGCTGTTGTCGCCAACAAGACCTCTCTTCAAAGAAGTAAGAGCACCTTTCAGCTTGGTGAGGGGAATGGTAAAGACATCCACGGGAAAGGTGACATTCATGACATCTTGGGCACCATCCAAGACACATATTTTAACAGAGCATATAGAGACAGCATTAAAGATGCCCAGTCTAAGGTTCTCAGGTCAACTTCCTTTAGAAGACGGGACCTTAATGTTATTCCTCCACCAGTGCCAGCCAAACACGCCTCCTTAGAACGAAAAGGAACAAGTACAAGTCCCAAACCAGCTACAACGTCCCCACACACTCCAAAGGAACGCCATGTTGTTCCCGTTGAAGCACCAACTAGGACCACTCCTCCTGAACTCCCTAGTGTCCCGGCTGTTGGACCTGCAGTTATACGGATCTGTGGACGCAAACGGTTCACGATGGACCAAAAGAAACGATCATATTCCGAGCCTGAAAATATGCATGAAGTTGGAGTGCTGCCTCAGGAAATCAGTCAGGCTGAGAGGAATGTTCAACAGCAGTTTCTGGCGAGCGAGACGAGTGTCGCAGATCGACGCAGGATGTTTGAGCAGGTGGCGAATCGTAGCGTCGAGTCAAGACTTTTGTCCTCCAGGCCTGATTTGAAGCAAATGCAGCAAGATGCCTTAGTTGAGTACATGGAGCGCAAAACTGGTAGAAGAGTAGATGGACGTCCAAACCGCCCACATAGTGCTTATCTACAGTCCGCTTCTTCTTCTGTTGACTTGCGAAGCCTCAACTCTACCCCAAGTATGTTCTCTTTGCAAGAGCCGGGACACGATGGCCACTCTGGTGGTACACAGAAAGCCTCCACCCTTCCAGCAGGAATGCAAAGCTCCTTTTACCCTCTCAAGGGCACCCAAAAACACACACGGCCTGAGTTTTTTGCCCATCAGTCGCAAGGCACAAATTCTGAATCTCATATACCAGGTCCAACCCTGACCAGAAATACCCTTCCACAGCACCTGGAGGCCATTTTTGAGAGAGCCACAACAGCTAGAAGCTCAGGGAGGTCAGCTTCAGCCGAGGATTTGTTGGACCGTAGTGAAGAACGTCCCGTTCCTCACCACTTCCGCTCCAAGTCATCTCCAGTGGAAAACTTTAGTCAGGTAACAATCATTTATTTGGTGGCAAACAAGCCAGACAAACTTGACTGTTTCATTGGTTAGATCACTGAAATGACATGACTTCATATCACATAAAGTTAAACAGTAACAGTGTTCATGGCAGAGCAGATTTGCTTAATTTAACTCTCCTATTAAATAGTTAAAACCAATTACTCACTCAGATTTCCCCTTGCTAGCATTTTTCTAAGGAAAAAAACAGCACCCAGTCTCAACAAAACTATAAAAATGATTTCCTCTGATTAGTAAAGGATGACTTTCATTTTTTATTGAAGAAAATTATCTTTAAATGATCTGCTTAGACCGCCATAGGTATGCAGCTCATTTGCATTTAAGGTCATATACACCAAAACAGCTCATTTTTGAACAGGCCCCCAAAATGACATTTTCAAAAGCTTATAATAAATTAACGGTGGGGTATTTTGAGCTCAAACTTCACAAATACATTCTGGGGACACCCGAGACCAATATTACATCTTGTAAAAAGTGGCATAATAGGTGCCCTTTAAGAAAACCCTAACAGTTGATTGGTGTTCAGTTATAATCAGTGCATGAGTTTTCGTCCAATTATGGTACATGGTGGTCTGTTGTAGGGCAAAGGAGCAGTTCCTTTTCTTGAGATGGGCAGATATTGATGTTTGTACCCACTCCTTAGGCTCCACAGGAAGAGGCCAGTGCTCTTCACTTCCTGTTTGGTGCCACAGAGCCTGGGATGTAGTCCGATATCTGACAGATGTGAAATAGATAACTGCACTCCTTCTGTGCCACAGAGGAGGAGTTGGAGATAATGGACAACTTGTCATGGTTAAGAAGGCCATTTATCTAAGGGAATAATTATCCTTTATATAAACAATAATGGTTCTGGTATGATGATGACTGTGTACAGTAGACGCACAACTATCCTGTGAAATCCCAGACTGTTCACAAATTCCAAAATTTGAAATGGTTTAAAGCCAGTAGATAAAATACCAGCATGATGATTTTGCTACTGACTAATATTGTGGTTTAACATAAAGTTAAACATTCTGGCCATGAATAAATCATCAGAACCAAGCACATCATTCAGGTCACGGTCTATGCATCTGTCCACAGTGCGCTAATTAAATACGACACAGTCCAGCTATGAGGATGTTGTCATGCCATGTCTCTTTTTTATTAGTAGATCTTAGTTTATCAGTAGTCATGGCATGCGCTTCGGTTTAAAATTAACATGAAAGTGCCAACATTCTCTAAACTTGAGGTAACCATAAAATAATGATTTACTTCTTGTTCCTGGTGTATGAACGCTTACTTTATGTTTTATTTTGAAACCTCTATCAGAAAGGGCGACAATACATCACCTGCTCAAATTAAACATTATTTGTTCTTTTTTTGCCTAGGACTTCTTAGCCACAGACCTTCAGATGTTTAGAGTTTCCTCCCAGGAATCCTCTGAAAACAGGTTTGTGTGTATAAATATATACATAAAACTTACAAATAGAGCCTCTTGAGTTCTGTATGCCTTGAGACACATAAATACATATAAAAATAAATTGTTGAACTTATCCAAACTGGATAAGAATAATTATTATTTATTTATTTTTGTGTGTGTGGAAGAATTAAGTAGATCAGTCCTTGAAAGAGCAAGAAGCAAGAATATTTCTTTGCAAGTTCAAAACTGAAACAGTTTTATGGAAATATTTAACCTTAAAAGGTCTTAAATTAAGGACCAATCCTTAATTGGTCAGTGCCAGTGACAGGAATCCCACTGCAGCTATTTTTGAGTTTGTTTTGAGCCATGCAAGAATTCCCACCAGGCATTAAAAGACAAATTAGTTGCATTCATTTCATTTACTTTAAAAATGGCAGGTATTGGAAAAAAAAAACCTGACAAGCACAAATTGATATTTATATTTCAAATGCATTTGTTTTAACAGGGTGTTGATGAACACAGGACACAAACAGCCGTTATGTTCAGCACGTATGGAGAGGAGTTACCAGCAAAACCCACCTGTGTTGTTGCGTGAGCGTCAAAGACATTCAGACCGGCCTAGAGTGCAAAGCGCTTCTGGTCTAGCTGCGTCTGTGGGACTTCCTTGCCCTTTCACCTCACCAGACACTTCCACCAGCCTCAACTGGCATAACGAAAACAGACTGTGTCAGCCCAACCTGGACTCTATTGCTTTTCCAATAACTGGGCCACAAAGTCCGTCCAGAGCACTGGGAATGGTGCGGCAAGGCTCCAGCGACACCAGCACTTCTGACGACACCCTGAAGGACTTCCCGTGTCCGGTGTCCTCTCCATCACCTCCACACACAGAGGTCATAGGGTCACAACTTCCACCCAATTCAAAGCCGCCCTCCCTTCCCGAGAGCTCTGACTCCCCAGCAAAGCCACTCTTGTCTCTTCGTATCTCAGAGTCTAATCTTCACGATGTTCAGAGTATCGCCGTGTTGCAAGATGATGATGAAGTGTTTTTAGCTCCTACGCCACCTTCTCCTCCACCACCACTGCCCATCAGAGAGACGGAGATTTCAGAGGACTTCCCGCCGCCGCCTCCGCCTCTCACACCCCAGATCGAGGAGGATGTGTTTTTGACGGAAGATTTACAGCATCCAGGACCATTACAGCCCATCAGGTAAACACACTCTCCTTGTTGGCCTTGGAACAACATTTACATAAACCAATCTGATTTTAGGGAAATGGTTTGGTGAAAAGCTGGGGTTAAAGTTTTTTTTACTAGCCAGTTATATTATAGTATAAATTAATGATGTTCTTCTTGACTCCATCACATTTAGACATTACACTAGACACATTTAATGGAATAATATGGGTTCAATACAAGCTCAATCAGCATTTGTAGCATGATGTTGATTAAAAATATAAAGAGGCAAGGTTATGGTGAGGAAACCCCTTCAATAAAAAAATATAAATTTTCAATGAATTTTTAAATATATTTCAAAATACACAAGTAATATATTGCTAATATTGCTGTAAAAACATTGCATGAAATATTGTGGGAAATATACTTATTTGTCCTAGCTAATTATATTAATTAAATTTATTTTGACGTTTGAATGTTGAAATTAAATCTATATTTTTTTGTAAATTTTCCTTTAGCTGTCCTATTTAAAATGAGATAAATATATTTTGGCCAGAATTGATTGATTTATTTTGGCCATATGGTAAATTACAATGAAAGCTAATGTGAAATATGAATCTTAAAATCAAGCTTATAATGAGCTTTAAATCATTTTCACAGCCTTTTTATGGTTAGAAAGATTTTTTTCGCACTAAATCACGTCTTGATCGTGAAACAGTAACTGTATGCCACATTTACTTCCATTTTGTCTCACTGTAACCCAGATTTTTGCTTTATTTTGTAAAGAAAATGTATTTGTCACAGATGCTTACGTTTGAGCTTAACTCTAATGAACCGCAAATATTCCTTCAATCCCATTAATGTAACATGATTTTCACTCATCTCACTTTGCAGCGATTGTGAGAATCTGGCAGATACATCAGTCCATCCAGAACCAGACCGAGCATCAAACAACCACTCGACTCCATCGGTGACGCCTGACCCTCAGTCCACCTTGAACACCAGCACTTCATCTCCTCTAGAGGAGGACACCTCTGAGATACTGGGACCCGACTACCATCTGCTGTCCAGAAGAGAGCGGACACACGCCGAGCTGCTTGTGGAGACTTTAGCCCGAGAGCTGGTGAGCCACGACAAATCCCTCACCGCACTGTTGGACACCTGGGCAGGTAAAAGCACCCTGGATCTGATGGAGGACATCTTCCCTTCACACAAGAGGAGCAGCGGCAGCCATGTGGGTCACAGGTGAGCGTTGAACAGAAGGTGAAGGTGCAGTCTGAATACAGCGTTACCCAATAATCAGGTGGATTTCATGCTCACAGGAGCGATAAACACAAGAGCTCTTTGTTTAAAGCTGATTATATTAGTGCTTGGCCTAATTTTATTGTGATAACTATACAATAGATCATGCAATAGAGCTGTAAAGATAATGAAACACTTCTGTATATTTTCTTCCTGAATTTAGTGCATAACTTACTCTTGTTCCTTACAAAAAATGACCGTGGTAGTACAATAATAGAGAGATCATAGCAGATGATAAATACTGGTGTATTTTGCTGTACCATTAACTTAATGATTACAAGAGTCATTTAGCATGGTATTATTTACATGGTACACGGAAGTAGTGAATGGGTTTTTCAATGCCGGTAATGATATACGATATAATGGAATAATATGTGTGTGTGTGTATATATATATATATATATTTAGTTGAGGTACTAAAATTAAATGAAATATTAAATCTAATTTAAAAAAGATATTTAAAATAGAAAATTTATTAAAATGACAGAAGCCTTTAACAAAAATACTAAAACTAAAATTAAAATGAAAGCTGATTCATCATATAATAATTGTATATAAATCATACTAAAATTACACTGCCAGGCTAACTGATAGAATGCAGATATGTACTTAATACAATTTTAATTTGGAAAAGAAGAGATTTATAAAAAAATAGCTAAAAGACATATATATATATATATATATATATATTCTATCATTGCACCAAAGTACTCCAGGATAAGAACATATAGGCAACATGAAAAACATGTTCAATATAATCCCGCACATTCCATGTGTTTGGATGAAATATAAGTACACTGATCTGTAGGGCAGCGGTACCATATTTGACAAATGCTGTAACAGAATGTTTGTAATGATATGAAACACATGGGAACTCATAGATAAAACAGAAGAATTGTATTACACCTCATTTATCCAGACAATTGATAAACTTGCTTAATTTTGTAAGATTTTTCACCGTGTCTCTCTCTCTCTCTGAAGTTTACTTTCTGCATAATTGATGATCTGCTAACAGTGCAGAGTTACACTGACATCTAGTGGCCGATCCTGAAACACACATTTCTCATCCATTTGTCACCTGGTAAATGCAGAAACTTGCGTTACCTTCATATACCACACACACAATTTTACAGATTGGCTCATAAAATTTTGTTGAACGCTACTATTTTAGCTCCATGAACGTGGTCTGTGTATTTTATATATATATATATATATATATATATATATATATTATATACTACTGTGTGTACTATGGTAATACCACAGTAAATTGTTCTTATAAACCTTTTTGAATTTATCTATCCCTTCTAAAGCAACAGTTTTCTTTCTGACTGGATTGCTCCAATGATATGCAGTGTGTGTGATTGTTCTGTTCTGCCGCTGAACTAAACGTGTAATTACGTGTGCTCTGTTTGACACGGGGAATGTGGATTTCAGCCTCTGTCCCTGTATCTGAAAAATAGGACATTCAGGGAGTAAAACTTGTGTGTTTGTGCGTGAGCGAGACAAACATTTCTCTTTGTTTGATGTCTTTGACCTCCATTAGGGCTCAAGATGGTCCGTGCGCTCAAGATACTCCCTCTCAGGCCGTTCCAAGGAAAATGGAAACCAACCTGGATGACGAAGAAGCTTATTTGAATCAAAAGAAGGTCAGATACACATTCATAAATGAAATATAAAATGTAAAAAGTCAAAAATAATAACTAGTATATATAAAATTATAAATGCTAACATTTTTGACAAAAATGTATATATGCATGTGTGTGTGTGTGTGTGTGTGTGTGTGTGTATATACACTAAATATATCCCATAAATAACATTATAACCCTCAAATATTACAAATATTTGTAAAAATTGTATATAGCATTTGTAATATGCTTTAAAAAATTGGGAATTTTTTGTACATTCTGAAATATATTTTAAAATATATCTGAAAATATATATTTTTTTGCCTTATGAGTTCAACCTCATTCAAACTCTCATACCGGATTCATATTGAAATGAGCACAATGCCATACTTCATTTCCCTGAAGCGATCACGTGTGCTAAATGGCTGAGGCCCAGAACTGTAATCTGTTTGTTCGTGGAGTAATGTGGTCTCCCGTCCTGCAGGTGGAGCTGTTGCAGGCGCTGCACGTGAGCATCCGGTCTCTGCAAGGGGAGAGAGAGGGTCTGGTGGAGCAGCAGAAGAGGTGCGGCGCTCTGGCCGGCAGTATGGAGGCTTTGGTTCAGGAATTCTGCAAACCCAACGAGAGAGAGAAGTACCGCATGTTCGTCGGAGACCTGGAGAAGATCGTAAACCTGCTACTGTCGCTGAGCGCTCGGCTCGCACGCGTGGAGAACACACTCAGCGCGCTCGACGACCACGACCACGACGACGAGAGTGGAGAAGAGAGGGTGAGCCTTGTTTCAGAAAATAAACTTTGAATTTTTCACCAAAAAATTTCCCTCTGAAGTGGATTTATAATATTAGGTAACATTTTATTTTAAGGTGACGTAGTTACACATTTACTTACTATAGTAGTAACACTAAATGATGCATCATTACAAGTAACTAACCCTGAACCAAATCATAACTCTATATTAAGTATGTTAATTAATATCACTCTACTTATTTGAGTAAGTGCAATTTAACTACATCACCTTAAAATAAAGTGTAACCTTATAATGTATATTATTATTAAAGGGTTAGTTCACCCAAAAATGAAAATTCTGTCAGTATTTACTCACCCTCATGTTGTTCCAAACCTCTATGTGTTTATTTGTTCTGCTGTTACACAAAGGAAGATATTTGGAAGAATGTTTTAATCAAACAGATCTCATTCCCCATTGACTACCATAGTATTTTTCCTACTATATGGAAGTCAATGGGGAGTGAGATCTGTTTGATTAAAACATTCTTCCAAATATCTTCCTTTGTGTTCAGCAGAACAAATAAACACATAGAGGTTTGGAACAACATGAGGGTGAGTAAATACTGACAGATTTTTCATTTTTGGATGAACTATCCCTTTAAAATTACAATATTATAATATTTCAGCATTATCAATTTAATTTTATTTAACATGGTCATTTTGATTCATCTTTCTGAAACATTTTTGCTCCTGCACATTTACACTTCTATGTAAACATTATGTTTGCATATGAAATGAGCTATAATGCTTATTGCTCATTTCATATGCAAAGATGAATTTACATACGCACAACCGGCACATCCGGGAACTTAACTGTCAATTTTGTCCTCGCCCCCTTTTGGGGGAAAGAAACTAGACTCCCCATAGACTTCAATACAAAATAATGGCAAAAACTTAAATAACTTAAGAAATTACTTATATAAAACATGTCAAGTAATTATATGTCCACCCTGCCTGCCATAGAGCGTGAAAAATACATTTTTTTTATGCCCGTAATCAACTAGCCCAGGCTACCTGCCATCATCATCATAAATTCATAATATATACATTAAGGTTTTTTACTTTAAAAAACGAAATAAAACCATTCACAGGTTTACCTGATGACTCGATGAGGTACAAGTAAATGTCCGGGTAAGACACCTCTGGCCACTGGGTGGGGTTGTTACACCAATTTGACGCTGGGAGAATAAAGGTACATGTTTTTAAATTGGCCAAATTAAGGTTGTGTATGTATCTTTCACGCTCTATGGCAGGCAGGGTGGACATATAATTACTTGACATGTTTTATAGAAGTGATTTCTTAAGTTATTTACGCCTGTCGGCTGTGTACAGACGTTGGTTTTTGCCGTTATTTTGTATTGAAGTCTATGGGGAGTCTAGTTTGTTTTCGCCCAAAAGGGGCGGGGACAAAATTGACAGTTAAATTCCCGGATGTGTGTATAAGTCTTAAAGGTACAGTAGCAAATATTTGCAGTGATCATTTGAAAAGAAAACAACCTTTTTACTCACATGCTGGAGTTTACTCAATAACATAATTTGAAATGGTCCTTTGGTGACAAATACATTTATATACACTGCTGTTTAAAAGTTTGGGTCAGTAAGATGTTTAATTGAATTTGAAACAATCTCTTCTGCTCACCGGCGCTGCATTTATTTATCAAACATACTGTAATATTGTGTTAATGTAATATATGGTCATACAAATGTAATTTATTCCTTTGATCAAAGATTGAAGTCTAGAGTAATGATGCTGAAAATTCAGGTCACATGATCCTTCAGAAATCATTCTAATATGATGATTTGCTGCTTAAGAAACATTTTTATAATTATTCTCAATGTTGAAACCCGTTTTGCTGCTTAATATTTTTGTGGAAACCATGATTCATTTGATTCATGCTCCTTTGATGAATTGAAAGTTCATTATGAACATTATAAATGTCTTTACTGTCACTTTTGATCAATTTAATGCATCCTTGCTGAATATAAGTTGTAATTTCTTTTTTGGAAATCTTACTGAACCAAACTTTTGAACAGTAGTGTAAGAACAAATATTCCATGTAGCCTTTCAAATAATTGAGGCGACATGTAAAATGATTATTAAAGAGTTAGCACAAATCATTTTTAGAAAGTGTATGTCATCCTCACATTGACCAAAACATACAACAGTCTGAGGGCCGCTTACACAAAACTGTTTTCATTGTTTTTAAAATGATAACGTTATCGTCTCCATGTAAACTACAAAAATGCAAATTTGTCACAAAAAAAACACAAAAAAAAATGGTGACATCGTGTGATTGTGTATTACGTGATCAGTCTATAGGAGAGTAGTGTTTCTTTCAAAAGTGACATCGCCAACTCTGGCCTGGCAGCAGAATACAGCGTTTTTAGTCGTTTTCACAGATCCGTGTGAACGGGCATCGCTTTGACAACTGTGTCGTGAAAAAAACCGCAAACGCAAAACTTTTCCGTTTTTAGCACATTATTGTCCTGTAATTATACCCTGAATTCCCAACCTTTAGTTTTACTGAAGAAAGGGCTGTTCCAAATAATGATACAGTTTGGTCGCATTTCACACACTGAGAAAGAACAAGAAATGCTAATTAAAGGAATGATATTACATAAGATAGAGTGATTCACTTGAAACGCCTCAAACTCAGGTGAGGACACAGATAACGTTTTATCTGTGAATTACACTAGAACTGAACGTCATCGCGAATAGAGGGTCAAGTTTATGATTATGCTTATCTCATGATATACTGGTGTTGAAAATGTAGTTTCAATAATATACAGACAGTGATATTTTAGATATTGCAAATGCATGAGCATTTTAGAAACCTTTTTTTACTTTTACAATACCAGCCTGCCACACTTATATCAATATAGCAATTCCCACGTCTTAAAGTCCCTATGAAATCAAAATTGACCATACTTACTTTGTTTGCCTAAATTGATCGTTTTGTGGTGAACAATTCATACATGCAAGTCAATCCACACAAAAAATTTTTTTGGCTTCGTAATCTTTAATCAAAGTTTGAAAATGCCCCTCCCCTCTGCATTGGAGGACCTTGCCCGATGACGTAGGCTTTACGGTTTGGGCGTCTCCTTAACATCCATAACCACACCCCTCCAACTGACAGCTGCTGTGTCTTGGCGAGCGCCGAGCGAGCATTGATTGACAGCGTGTGTAAACTTGCGTTCTAGATCCAATCAGGTGCTAGTTATAAAACAAAGCCACGCCCACTATTTTGCCTCATTTAGTATTCCGTTTCTCTCCGAAATACGTCACAACACTGGAGAAAAGTCGTTTGCAACTTCCGGTTCACGGGGACTTTAAGTCCTTCGATTGTGCTTGTGTTTATTATGGTATTATACAGCTAATCCTGTTTGACAAGCATCAGGAACTGTACAAGTAGGCTATATATAGAGAGGAGCTTCCAGCAAGAACAGTGTTTGTGATATTATGCTGTTAAACAGTGTTTGTGATATTATGCTGCTTAATGCTGTTTAAAGATATCTTCTGCAAACTCTAGACCATCATAAAAACATCCTTGCTTGCTAAGTTAACAGCTGGAGTGTCTGTAATTAGTCATTTTAAAGCTAAGTCAGCCTCAGATTTGAAGACTGCTGACATATTGAGACTATAAAATATAATAATAATTATTAAAAAAAAATGTACATCACATCACTAGCATCACATACAATTGACCTATGGCTAAGCCACGCCCCCTCCACTCACTCGGACAAACAGTCAACATTTGGGAACAGGCACCATGGCAGCTGTCACAGTAGGAGACATTTCACAGGAGGCAATGGGTGATTTTTGGAGACAGAAAGATTATATATTATCTCAAAGTCACCTAAAGGGCCTTAACTATGCATTGGAGGGTTATATTAATCATTTTATTGTTGAGAAGGTCGATGAAAAGCTTCAGCTCCAGGAAAAATGTACAGGTCAGAGTGTAAAGGTGATAAACCGCATATCGTTGCCATCACCATTTGGTGCCACAGTATTAACATGAATCATTCAGCACAACATTGTTAACATTTGTTATCTCGGTTATTTACAGATACGTTAATGAAGCTAAGTGACATGATGTACGCCGCAGCTAGAAGCTAACGTTAAGGTTTTCTAATGTTAGGCTAACGTTAGCCTTAACGTTACGTTAGATTTTGAAGATAACAAAGATAATGTTCAAATACATTGTTGACTTAACTTAGAACAGATGTAGACATCATTGTTTGATTGATCCACGTTTAGTTGGTGTTGTGGTCTAGCTACCGCATAACTTAATCCAGAGCAGACACTTATCTCGGTTGAGATGTGGCTTGGGAAAGGGTAAAAAAAAATACACACCATCGCCACGCAGCCCCAGTTGGAGTTGCATGTACCCCATACACACTGTTTGACCATTTTGAACTTAAAATGACAAGAAAAAAAACGAATGAAAACTGACTAACTGCAATACAATTCAATGGACGTGGAAGCAGAGAATGGGTTAGCTGGGCGCTGTGATTGGATCATCGCGTTTGGGGGCGTGGCTTAGCCATAGGTCAATTGTAAACAATTATGTATGCTACTGTTTTAAGATTTTTTTATGTTTTTGAAAGACGTCTCTTATGCTCACCGAGGCTTCATTTATTTGGTTAAAAATATAGTCAAATTGTGAGTGAAATATTATTTCAATTTAAAATAACCATTTTCTATTTGAATACATTTTAAGATGTGATTTATTCCTGTGATCAAAGCTGTATTTTCAGCATCATTACTCCAGTCTTCAGTGTCACGTGATCCTTCAGAAATCATTCTAATATGATGATATGATTCTCAAAAAACATTTCCCACAATCAATTTTTTACATAGAAAGTTAACTAGAATAGCATTCATTATAAATGAAAATCTTTAGTCACTTTTGATCAATTTAACGGATCCTTGCCTGATAAAAGTATTACTTTTTAAAAAAAAATTTTTTTTTTTTAAAGAAAAGAAATCTTACTGATCCACAATTTTGAGTGTTGGAGTTAATGCGTGTCTGTGTGTTGGAGTTAACGTGTGTTTGTGTCCCCGTAGGAATCTCTGCAGCTGAAGCGGAAGCAGTTGAGCAGTCAACAGGAAGACGCTCGAGAGCTGAAGGAAAACCTGGACCGGCGCGAGCGAGTGGTTCAGGATATTCTGTCCGGCTACCTGAGCCGCCCACAGCTGCACGACTACCAGCGTTACATCCGCATCAAACCCGCCCTGCTGATACGCCAGCGCCACCTGGACGAGCTCATACGCCAGGGGGAGGAGCAGGTGAGGAGGCTGGAGGAGACCCTGCCCCCTGAGCAGCACCCAAAGAACACTGACTCCGCCCCCCAAACACAGCCTTGTTTTAACTCCACCCACCTGACACGCCCCACCACTGTGACCTCACTCTGACTCCGCCCATCATAGACTGATGCCGCTCACAGCTGAGGATAAATATGAATCAATGACACTGGCCACGAGCAGTGCGCACAAACGAGTGCCTTAAATGAAGGAAATGACGGAGTTGCACCACAGACGTTTTCCCAGTGTGCCATTGCACACGAGCGCAAAGTTCGGAAGACCATAACTGCGTTTTTTGCCCATTAGACATCTACACTGCACCACTAATTAAATGCACAGTGCATGTACACTACATACTTAGCTTACAGCACAAGGCACAGAGCTAATTCAGTGGCACAAAACGCATCATTGTGATTGGCCAAAACACCAATGATTTCCAGCCCTGTAACTTCTGAGCACTTTGGAACAGATGAACCACTACGATGTCACAAAAAGAAGAAACTATCGAACACACACACACACTTACTGTCTGCGCTTTGAAATTCCTATTGTCAATAAATGCGACAGCTAAATATTTATGATTTTCCGTTTAGAAACAATTTTGTACGCTGCTGTACATACGCTGCAGCAATGCCCTCGTGATTTTAAAATGTAGAAGGTTTAAAAACAGCAAAGATAATGTATTTTTGTAAGCATATTACTAGCGAGGGTGTTTTTGTGGCTTTTGGGCGTTTATGGTCAGCTTTAAGAGGTGCTATTATATCTAAATCATGACAATTACTACCAGAAACAATAATAACTGTTCACTGGCACTTGAACACAACATCAGTACTTGCTTTCAATAGCGATTAGGAAGCGTTAAAACTGATGTTGAATAAATATTATTCGCAACTCGGCTGCATGCAGGGTTTTATATTTCCTGGTTTGATCGCAATGCACATGCCCAACTTATTTTGCCAATAATATATTTTATTTCATTTTAAATTCTGGCTGTTTTTATTTGGAGAACATCTTAATTCACAAAGTATCATACCCCGAACAGCTGTATCTAAACACATAGACCGCAATAGCAGCAAACTGTAGATGGAAGCGTTTATATTGGACTGTTCTTGTATAAGAGCTGTTGTGATCATCTGATACACATGCAATTGTTGTTTTTGTCTGGTTTTTTTTTTTTTTTTTGATGGGCCTAATCTGGAGATTAGGTTCAGCCATGCTTTACACTGTTTAAAGGCAAAAAAAGAGCACAATTGGAAGGCAAAATAAATCTATTTTTTAAATACAACCTCATTGTCTTGATGTTGCATTATTTGCCATTTTCATGTTTGACTAATGAAAATAAAATAATAAAGGATTGATGTTGTTTTTTTACTATACATTTCAACTACATATTTTTTATGCGTTTCGGCTGTTCATTTACAGGGTAATGGCATTTTTGGGACCTGAAATGCAAACTTTTCAAAGTGCACGATTTTCTTTAAACGATACCATTGTCATCACCATGTAAACTACAAAAACAAACTGAGTTTGTGAACAAAATGTTTGTTATTCCACTTTGTTCACACATTTTTTTTCAATAAACACAAAATAGACATAACAAATATTCAGAAAATTGTTTAGTGCGTTTCTCAGAAATCACTCAAGGCAGCATTAACAGATTTCATTTTTGTGTGTCCAAGTTCTTGTATCCTCTCAAGTAAACAAAAGTACTTGTATCATGTCCATATTTCAAATTCAGATCTAACTGCTCGAAAAATATGCTACACATCTGAAAAATCTTCAGCTGAGATGAACATTGTACAAACTGAAAGTTATGCAGCGCAAGTAAAGCTCTTATGATGTTCTGAGAGTTTTGTATGTCGCAAAACCAGTTGCTCAACCATGTAGAAAAGGCAGGGAGAGAAATTGTTTCTAGGTGCACTTAATATTTTCGCATTGCTTTTTTTTTTTTTTTTGCGTAATCACTACAATTGTTTTAATCACAAATAACTGGAAATTGGTCAACTGGTCATAAAGTGTTGGAGTCCTGTTATATTCACCATTATTCATTAAAGAGAATCGGGTCACTTGATAGCAGCCATAATATGGTCAGTTCTGCAACAGGAAACTAGTGAGTGGAAAGAAACTGCCAAACAAACAATGTAATGGTAACCAGATCAGTCAGTGTAATGGCTAAACCATAATGATATGCGCTATTTTATCAGGGCTTCTGCAAGCAATCTGAATCATTTAAACAGCAGACAAATGTGATGTCCGGCCTCAGGAAATTGACATCTTCACTTTTTATTCAAATATATTTGAAAATTTGTAGAATTTCTAAGCATATTGTGCTTGGAGTCAATTTTTTTATAACGCAATGAAACATGCAAAATTGTGTGAAACAATGTTTTGGACAGGCTGTCTTACAAAGAAATTTTGGACACATTCAAAAATGAGAAAATCAATTAATATTAATAATGGATTATGTTGTGTTTTTGCATATAAAACAAAACACAGCTGCAGTTTGCCTTTTTTGCCAAATAGTTTTCAGACGAATCCCTCAACCAAGTTTGGTGTTTTAATCTGTCCTCATATTTAATATATATATATATATATATATATATATATTTATATATTCGTATAATCTATACATTTTGACAAACTTATAGGGTCATTAACCCTCTGATGATCCTCGATCACTTCTGACCGAATAATTTTCTGTTTTGAATTTCTAAAAATCACAGCTTCATCAGAAGGTTATGATACTTGGTGAATTTTCTGGCATTAGGTATGTGAATACAAAAAAAAAAAATAGAGGTCAAGATCCGAGCATGCTAAGTGGACGTAAAAAAAAATAGTCACACTCGTGGTCTACGGTCAAAAATGACCGACCCATAGGAAATGACTGGGAATTTTACAAAAACACAAAAATTCTCTGTATTTTTGTCTGTACAATCTACAAATCGGCCACGATTCTAAAAGAAAGTACACCGCAGTAAAGAGGTTACACTCTATAACATCAAGAATGCAAAAAATGTACACCCATTCACACACACACATACAAACACACTTTTATACACATACAAACCAATAAATTTTGAACTGTTTTGAATTTTTAAAAATCACAGCTTCATCAGAATGATACGAAACTTGGTGACATTTCTGGCATTAGGGATGTGAACACACAAAAAAAATGAGGTCATGATCCGAGCATGCTAAGCGGTCGTAAAAAAAAATTGTCACAATTTTGGTCTTCAGTCAAAAATGACCCCCATAGGAAATGAATGGGAAATTGACAAAACACAAAAATTCATTTTGGGTCGAATTTTTGAGTTTCGATATCTCAGCTCTGGAAGGGTCTAGAGCCTCCATTTTTGCACTCAGGTCTAAGTCTCATGGCCCTCTATCAGAATCCAGAGTTTTGAGAAGATTGGAGAAACGTAATTTTTCGCCGAAAAAAAAAAAACGAAAGGGGTACCACTGTCTTTTTTTTTTTTCGGGGTCGAATTTTTGAGTTTCGATATCTCCACTGTCGTTTTTTTTTGGGTCAATTTTTTGAGTTTCGAGATCTCAGAACTTAATTTTTTGCCCGAAAAAAAAAAAAAACGAAAGGGGTACCACTGTCGTTTTTTTTTCGGGTCGAATTTTTGAGTTTCGATATCTCAGCTCTGGAAGGGTCTAGAGCCTCCATTTTTGCACTCAGGTCTAAGTCTCATGGCCCTCTATCAGAATCCAGAGTTTTGAGAAGATTGGAGAAACTTAATTTTTCGCACGAAAAAAAAAAACGAAAGGGGTACCACTGTCGTTTTTTCCCTCATTTTGAGTTTCGATATCTCAGCTCTGGAAGGGTCTAGAGCCTCCATTTTTGCACTCAGGTTTAAGTCTCATGGCCCTCTATCAGAATCCAGAGTTTTGAGAAGATTGGAGAAACTTAATTTTTCGCCCGTAAAAAAATACGAAAGGGGTACCACTGTCGTTTTTTTTTCGGGTAGAATTTTTGAGTTTCGATATCTCAGCTCTGGAAGGGTCTAGAGCCTCCATTTTTGCACTCAGGTTTAAGTCTCATGGCCCTCTATCAGAATCCAGAGTTTTGAGAAGATTGGAGAAACTTAATTTTTCGCCCGAAAAAAAAAAAACGAAAGGGGTACCACTGTCGTTTTTTTTTTCGGGTCGAATTTTTGAGTTTCGATATCTCAGCTCTGGAAGGGTCTAGAGCCTCCATTTTTGCACTCAGGTTTAAGTCTCATGGCCCTCTATCAGAATCCAGAGTTTTGAGAAGATTGGAGAAACTTAATTTTTCGCCGAAAAAAAAAAACGAAAGGGGTACCACTGTCGTTTTTTTTTTTCGGGTCGAATTTTTGAGTTTCGATATCTCATCTCTGAAAGGGCTAGAGCCTCCATTTTTGCACTCAGGTCTAAGTCTCATGGCCCTCTATCAGAATCCAGAGTTTTGAGAAGATTGGAGAAACTTAATTTTTCGCCCAAAAAAAAAAACCGAAAGGGGTACCACTGTCGTTTTTTTTTCGGGAGAATTTTTGAGTTTCGATATCTCAGCTCTGGAAGGGTCTAGAGCCTCCATTTTTGCACTCAGGTTTAAGTCTCATGGCCCTCTATCAGAATCCAGAGTTTTGAGAAGATTGGAGAAACTTAATTTTTCGCCCGAAAAAAAAAAAACAAAGGGGTACCACTGTCGTTTTTTTTTCGGGTCGAATTTTTGAGTTTCGATATCTCAGCTCTGGAAGGGTCTAGAGCCTCCATTTTTGCACTCAGGTCTAAGTCTCATGGCCCTCTATCAGAATCCAGAGTTTTGAGAAGATTGGAGAAACTTAATTTTTCGCCCGAAAAAAAAAAAACGAAAGGGGTACCACTGTCGTTTTTTTTTTCGGGTCGAATTTTTGAGTTTCGATATCTCAGCTCTGGAGGGTCTAGAGCCTCCATTTTTGCACTCAGGTTTAAGTCTCATGGCCCTCTATCAGAATCCAGAGTTTTGAGAAGATTGGAGAAACTTAATTTTTCGCCCGAAAAAAAAAAACGAAAGGGGTACCACTGTCGTTTTTTTTTCGGGTCGAATTTTTGAGTTTCGATATCTCAGCTCTGGAAGGGTCTAGAGCCTCCATTTTTGCACTCAGGTTAAGTCTCATGGCCCTCTATCAGAATCCAGAGTTTTGAGAAGATTGGAGAAACTTAATTTTTCGCCGAAAAAAAAAAAACGAAAGGGGTACCACTGTCGTTTTTTTTTTCGGGTCGAATTTTGAGTTTCGATATCTCAGCTCTGGAAGGGTCTAGAGCCTCATTTTTGCACTCAGGTTTAAGTCTCATGGCCCTCTATCAGAATCCAGAGTTTTGAGAAGATTGGAGAAACTTAATTTTTCGCCCCGAAAAAAAAACGAAAGGGGTACCACTGTCGTTTTTTTTTCGGGTCGAATTTTTGAGTTTCGATATCTCAGCTCTGGAAGGGTCTAGAGCCTCATTTTTGCACTCAGGTCTAAGTCTCATGGCCCTCTATCAGAATCCAGAGTTTTGAGAAGATTGGAGAAACTTAATTTTTCGCCCGAAAAAAAAAAAAACGAAAGGGTACCACTGTCGTTTTTTTTTGGGTCGAATTTTTGAGTTTCGATATCTCAGCTCTGGAAGGGTCTAGAGCCTCCATTTTTGCACTCAGGTCTAAGTCTCATGGCCCTCTATCAGAATCCAGAGTTTTGAGAAGATTGGAGAAACTTAATTTTTCGCCCGAAAAAAAAACACGAAAGGGGTACCACTGTCGTTTTTTTTTCGGTATTTTGAGTTTCGATATCTCAGCTCTGGAAGGGTCTAGAGCCTCCATTTTTGCACTCAGGTTTAAGTCTCATGGCCCTCTATCAGAATCCAGAGTTTTGAGAAGATTGGAGAAACTTAATTTTTCGCCCGAAAAAAACGAAAGGGGTACCACTGTCGTTTTTTTTTTCGGGTCGAATTTTTGAGTTTCGATATCTCAGCTCTGGAAGGGTCTAGAGCCTCCATTTTTGCACTCAGGTTTAAGTCTCATGGCCCTCTATCAGAATCCAGAGTTTTGAGAAGATTGGAGAAACTTAATTTTTCGCCCGAAAAAAAAAACGAAAGGGGTACCACTGTCGTTTTTTTTTCGGGTCGAATTTTTGAGTTTCGATATCTCAGCTCTGGAAGGGTCTAGAGCCTCCATTTTTGCACTCAGGTTTAAGTCTCATGGCCCTCTATCAGAATCCAGAGTTTTGAGAAGATTGGAGAAACTTAATTTTTCGCCCAAAAAAAAAACGAAAGGGGTACCACTGTCGTTTTTTTTTTTCGTCG